ACCTGTCCCATTGTGCTAATTCCACCATCATAAAAGAGCTGTATAGGATAATCCTTTCCTAGCTTTTAATACCTGCACTGACTTGGAATTAGCCCATCATTTTTAGTTTAGAAAAATGCTTACTATTTTCTTACCAAAGAGACAGACAGTGTAGTCTAGTCTAGTGGTTAAGGCACCAGGCTAGAAACCTAGAGAACATGAGTTCTAATTTCTGCTTGAGGCTTAAAAGCTGGCTTGGCCAGTCGCTGTCTCTCAGTTTTCTAAGACCTAGAACACTGATAGCTAACCTTTTGGTTGTTGCGTGCTGAAAGCGCTCATACACATAATGAAAGCACACACACACACATAATGCAATGCACGTAAGACAACCTACCCATATGCTCCACCCTTCTGCTCATGCACCACACAACCTCACAGCAATCCCCCGCACTTGCATATGTGATCCCCCTGTACCTCATTTTGGGTCTAGCAGGCCTCCCTGAAGCTTCCTGGGACCAGAAACAGGGCACAGGGGGTCACACTGTACTCCCACTCCCCCTGCACCTTGCGCATGCGTACACTCCCGCATGTGCCCCATCCCCCACACAGGCATGGCATAGACATAAAAATCAGCCGGCCAGTGGGAGATGCGTGCACAGTGGAGCTGAGCTGGGGTGACGGCTCACATGCCTGCAGAGGGGGCTCCATGTGCCACCTGTGGCACGAATGCCATAGGTTCACCATCACGGCTCTAGAACTTACCTGGAGTGCATATTGCTCCAAGAAGATGACCATCTGGAAAGAATCTAGGAGATGACTCCTTTATAGTAATTTAGTCAAGGAATCTGTAGAGTTCGTAAGACAAATACTCTCTGAAATTATTTCAGAAATTCATAAAGTATGACTAAGATGAGGTATTTTCAATTAAGATTTTTAATTGATGAATACATTTCCACACATTCTATTAAAAGAGCCTCCTATTAACTCCTGTACTTGTGGGAAAATGCTTGGAAAAAGAAGGAGGAAAAATGCTTTCTTGCCAATTTATTTTTCTCTGGAAAAGCAATGAATCATGTTGCTTCCGTGGCTTTGCAGAAATCGTACATCATGTGCTCCTGTTAGGATGTCCCTTGTTTCTGTCCATTGTCACCAATGGGAGTTCCAGTCCTGCCTCAGGCACAGGAGCCAGCTGCGTGATTTTGGGCCATTTACTGTCTCTCAGCCCTAGGGAAAAGGAAGTATGAAACCACTTCTCAAAAGGTTGCCTAGAAAATTGCATGTCATTCATGTAATCATGAGGGGTCAAGATCAGAGGTGGTATTCAGCAGGTTCTGACCAGTTCTGGAGAACCAGGAGCGGAAATTTTGAGTAGTTCAGAGAACCAGTAAATAACACCTCTGAGTGACCCTGCCCCCATCTATTCTCTGCCTCCCGAGTCCCAGCTGATTGGGAGGGAATGGAGATTTCACAATATCCTTCCACTACCATGCCCACCAAGGCACGCCCACCATGCCACGCACGCCACACCCACCATGCCACGCCCACAGAAACAGTAGTAAAAAAAATTGAACCCCACCACTGGTCAAGATGGACTCAAAAGGCACAACAACAACAACAACAACAACAACAAATAATAATTTTAGACGTATTAAAATAAAAACAAGTGAAGTGATAAAAACGGACCGTTGTGAATTAATCAAACAATGAAACAATAGCTAGCTCCAAACAACAAGAAATAATAAGAGAAAATGCAAGCAAATAAGAAGACT